TTTTTTTTTAAAGTAAGGGGGAAGGAAGTCAGGCCTGAGAGTACAAGCTTATAGTCCCAAGTTACTTGGGAAGCTGAGGCAGGAGGATCTTGAGTTGAAGGCTGCTTAGTCTATGGGGGTATGTACGTTCAAGGCCAGCCTGGGTAACTTAGCAATGCCCTGTCGTGCTCAGACCAGAGATGCTGCCCCTGCAGAGGGGACCGGCACACTTTGTATTCTATCCCCTTCCTTGTCTAAGATAAGAGACTCGGAGATTCTCCCAGGTCAAGTCTATGAAGTAAAGAATTCCCTTCTTTCTGCGGCTTCTGTTTTCATGTCTCCCCCAGCTTCTCTTATTGTATATGGTGTGGTCAAGGGACCGAAGTATCTATCTCTCACATGTGTCTGTGCCAGTCTATAACCAAACCAGATGGGGCTCCAACACAGATATTTATTTTCCCTAACTGGACTGGAACGGAGGCGCAAGGAATAACCAGACACAGCTTACACCATTATTACAGAAAAGGGCATCTCAGGCTTCCTCCTCCTGAAGATCTCCCCTGAAGATCTCCTCGCGTTTATTCTCCAAACATCTTTTATACCAATACATAAACTGGGTGGGAAAATACATCATCATACTGTCTCCTAGGTAACCAGGTGAATGGCCTTTTGTCACGTCAGCATCTACCTGTCTGCTGAGTCTGCTAGCTGTCCCGTAGGCTTGAATTAGCATCTCTAAAGGCACCCTCTAATTTACAAAGAAAGGGAGCAGCCAACATCCTGACCTTTGTCAGGCAGAGACAGCCTGTCTGCAGGGCTACGCGATCACTTCGGATGAGCCCAGTGGCTTCAGAACCTGGCTGCTAAACCATAAAGAAATATGGGCCTACACTGCCTTACCTAAAAATCTCAAAAAAAAAAAATAGTTGGGAATATATAGTTCAATGGTAGAGCACTTGCCTAGAATGGATGAGACCCTAAATTCAGTACCAAGGGAGGAAGGAATGGAGAGAAGGAGGGAAGTAAAGAATGGAGTGAAGAACAGCCTCTTTAGCTCACCATTGGAAATTTAGAACCAGGGCAAGCCTGCTTTGGTATCCACAGCAAGTCAGGCACAGGATGACCCAGATTCTTGCTCTACCGCCCAGCAATGCCCTGGATCTGGCTGTCAGTCAACTCTGGATTTCCTCATCCAGGTCAAGCAGGAGAGAAAGATGACTTCCCTGGCTCCAGGAAAGAGAAAATGCCTTCTCCAAAGCTGTCCAGGCCGTTAGCTCCGTTGCAGTCCCAGGCTTTCCTTGAACGAAGCGGCGAGCAGAAAGGAGGGGGCGTTTACATGAAGCAGGTCTCCTCTAAGCTGAGTGAATGCTCTCATCTCTGTTTCCAATGTTCACATCTAATCAATGAATGCCTTGAACTAAGATAACCCAAAAGGGCAAAATGATCAATTGTTTATTTATTTATTTTTGATCAATTGTTTATGACAGTTGTTTTCAACCTTCCTAATGTTGCAACCTTTTAATACAGTTCCTCATTCTGTGGTGACCCCCCCACCACAAGCATAAAGTTATTTCCCTTGCTACTTCATAACTGCAATTTTGTTACCATTATAAATTGTAATGTAAATATTTGTGTTTTCTGATGGTTTTAAGTGACCCCCCCCCACCCCATGGAAGAGTTGTTCAACTTCCGAAGGGGTCCTGACTCAAAGGTTTATGATAACATGATACCCAATAAAAGTGTTACAATGGTCAGACCCCAAAATAAAGCACAAGTAAAATAGTATGAAACATATCTCTTTTCACTTATTTATTAGGTTTTATGAATTGGGTAGATAGTTTGAGACTGTATACTAAGTCATATGCCCATGCCGTATAATCTCAGGCTCTGGTTTGCCACGTGGCTGTGTTGGCCATTAGGGAATTAGCAAATGTAACAACAGAAGTTTGGGTAGACTTCATGCTTGAGAACTCACGTTCTCCTATCACCCTAAGTGAGGAAACCCAGGCAAGCACCCTGAGGAAGGGAACCCTGCTCTGGTGACATTTGCCACCTTGGGAAAGGCCCTGAGTTCAGCACATTGTCTCAGATCTGTTAGCTTTTTCTGATTGAGTCCTTCAGAAACCTGACTAGCTTCACTTGCTTTGTCTGAAGAGGTGGATGTGAGTCCTAATTAGCTACATTCTCACCTTGACAGTCAGCTGTGAAGACTCCACTATGGGACTGCCCACATTGGTTTGGCCTGTGCCCCCCCCCCGCCCCCCGCCTCCGTCTGTGAAGGATTATCTTGATTGGTAATTGGGGTGGGAAGACCCAACCCACTGTGGGTGGCCCCAACCTTAGGCAACTGGGCCTGGGCTGTGTAAAATAGAGTCAACAGCCAGCAAGCAGCGCTCCTCCAGATTGCTGACCTGACGTCCCGCAGTGATGAACCGTCCGTGGGAGTGTAAACCGGAAGAAACCCTTTCCTCCGCCAGAGCAGCTTTTGCTCCCAGTGTTCTCTCACGGCAGCAGCAAAGCAAACATTAGGTGCTAAACTTTGTTCAAAACAAATAAAAAAGTAGGAGGTGGGAGTGCAGCTCACTGCCAGTGCGTGTGATTGACACACACGTCCCTAGCTCAATTTCTCCCCAGTTGAAGACCATAATGATAGCAAGCCATTGACACAGCTTGCCCCGTATCCTCCATATACTCTTGAAGACTGGGAGCTAACAGAGCTCTATAAAAAAAACCTAGGGATGAGGTCTGTCCAAGGAAGACAGAGGTGGACAGGAAGCCAGCGTTGCTGAACCAGGAGTGGGAACAGACCTGTGCTGGGGTTCGCTGCCTCTGCTGCAGCTTGGGTAGAATGGGTAAGCGCTCCCCCCCTTCTGTGTGTGTGTGTGTGTGTGTGTGTGTGTGTGTGTGTGTGTGTGTGTTGACATTCAACAAAAAACAACACTAAGAATACCTGCAGTTAAGCCTGTTCCTGGGCCCGTTTTCACCTCTTGAGTTGCTGAAGGCAGTGACTGTGAACAAGGCATGCTCAGAAGAGAGGCAATGGACTGAGGATTACCTCTTGCACCCCTGTAGTCTGTGACCAGGGAGGGATGCCAGCGTGTGTTTTCTGCTAACCAACTTTACAGTCTTTCTAGCCACACTTCCAGACTCTTGCACGCGCAGGGTTTTGCACACCTTTACAGTGATGGGTACAAAGTCATCAGTCTTCGCCTTGGGAATGTCACAAAGTCACGTGACCCTTCTGAGCAATCACACAAAGCCTTCTTTATCTGCTTGGGGGAGAGCCAGAGATTGGGCAATACATCCGAAGGCCCCATCTGATCTGTGTCAACAAAGCTCATTTTAATGATTACCTATTGCCAGTAGTGGGTTGGCTCCCATCCCCACCCCCAAATGCCTCATCAGTGCAACAGGCGGATGCTTAGTAAAGTTATTACCGACAGGTGAATGGAGTTCTAAGCCATGGGAGGCAACAGGACTAACTTTGAACTTCAACTTGAGCACATGGCCAAGTGATTAGGAGATATGTGTAGTGCCTGGAGAAATATAAAAGGCATGGCTAGGCCAGAACAATCTTTATGTTCAACCCCCTAATTCCTTTTCATTCTTTGAGGGGTGGTTGAAGCACAGGACACAGATAACAACCAAAAGCAACGCCCCCCAAAAAGGATTGTTAACCTCTGTAGTTAATGGCTTCAAACCTGTTCCCCTCCTCGTGTGTGTGTGTGTGTTTACATGTGCACTTGCTCCTGTGGGCACACACGGAGCCCAGAAGGTAACTGTTAATATGATCTTTGTCTAATACTTCCTGCACCATTGCTTTGAGGCAGGGTCTCTCACTGAACCTGGAATTCACTATTTCTGCAAGAATGGCTGAGCAGTGAGCTCCCAGGAGCTGCCTGTCTCTGTCCCACTACCGCACCAGGCTTTTCATTATTTATTTATTTATTTATTTATTTATTTATTTATTTATTTATTATTTTACACTGAAGCTGACGATCTGAACTCAATTTGGATCCTCACTATGAACTCAGTTATGGAACTCAATTATGCACCCCCTGAGCTAGCTCCCCTTACTTCAGACTTTTTTCTATTATTCAATTAGTAGAAGGAGAAAAGGGTTAAGAACAAACTCTGAATTGAGGCATATTTGTCAGGTTACAGTATGGGCCAATCGGCCAAAGAAATTCACTTAGTTGAGAGTTTCTATAGACAAGCTTTTAGAAGTTCACAAAAATCTAATGTTTTTAAGAAGAATGATCTGAAATAATGATTTCCCTACCACTAAGAGTAAAAATAGACTTAAGGAATTATGGCCATTCTTAAGAAAGAACGGCCAAGCAAGGAAACTCCACCACCTGAAGACAGCCTGCACTCCTTGAACCATGGTAACAAGATCCTGGAGCCAGAGACTGCATTCTGCCACGGGCCTAACCAGAGCGCGTTTGAAAAGAGGTGAGTTCTACACATCACAGGCAGTTCCGGGGCCTCCCCTTCAGCAGCACACCACTGCTGTGCTGAACTCAGACACATCTGATGTGGCCCGCCACGAGGGAGCCCATTAAAGATCGTCGGACTCGGGGATGGTGACTGAGTTCTTTCGCAGGGATTCTAGTGAAAACGCAGTGGGAGAAAGTGGCCTGGACTCCGGGATGTGTTCCATTCTGTATTTCTCGATGTACGGTGCAGCAACTTCCCAAACCTGAGAGGCAAGGAGGGGAAACACAGTCAAAATACGGGAAAGGTTGTTTCCCCGCGCTATGAAGAAATCAGAGCTTCACCCCAAACCAAAGCGCGCTCCATACCTGGCCAAACACGTAGCAACTTGTTTGCTTATTTTTTGAGCCATTTGACACACTCTTGTGTTAATTAGTTGCAATAAAGGATTTTAAAAGACAAAGTCCAAAACCAAGCTCACATTGTAAAGGGTTTTAAGCTGCTTCCTACTCTAGCCAAACAAGCAAATCCACAAAAACCAAACAGAACCTTGGCAACTTAGAGTGAGATTCTGGATGCTTACTCAGGGGTTGGTGGATAGGACAGTGCATGAGGCTTGGAAGTTGAAAGGTGGTACAATGAGTTCTTCTGAGGTTGTGTTTCTATGGCCACCAGTATGCAAATACGGCCTGTCTCCCAGCCCCTTAAGCATCCCCGGGGACAAGCCAGAATCAGCTTCCACTTTCATCTGAGAACTATGGGATGGAAGCTGAGTTTGTATACGATGATAAGACTGTCACACGTATGGCCAGGTTTCCCTCTTCGTCTACCAACCTATTTCCTTAAGGCCCCATTTTTGGTTTGTAGTTTCTTTTCTTTCCGCCAGTGGCCCCTGACAGCCAAGGAATCTTTCCCGTTCTATGCCCTCACAAAATAAACTCTTAGCTCGTGCCGTGGTGGCTCCTGCCTGAATCCTAGCACCCTTGGTTCCGGAATATAGAGAGGGAAGAAGACTGCTGTGAGCTTGCGGCCAGCCTGAGCTGCTCAGTGAGTCTTGAGTCAGCCTGAGCTACATAGCCTGAGATACTATCTGAAACAAATCTGAAAAAGAACATGTATTCCTCACAGGCTAACCCCTCGTGGAAGACATGTTCCCTCAAAGGACATGGGGTACACCTCGAAATCAGAGGTGTGAAGTTTCAAGGGCAAGTTTGTTCCCCCAGAACAGGGTCACAGCTCTAAGGAAAATCAAGGGATTCTAGGGAATGGGACTCTAATGACTCTAAAGATTTTAAAGCATTAAAACAAAATGTGTGTGTGTGTGTATAACAGTGTGTGTGTGTGTATATAAATGTGTGTATACATAAATGTGTGTTTGCATATATATGTGTGTGTACATGTATATATAAAAACGTGTATATATACATATATGTGTGTATATAAATGTGTGTTTGCACATATATAAAATGTGTGTATATGTATATATAATGTGTGCACTTGCATATATATATATATAAATGTGTGTATATAAAAATATATAAAATATGTTTATATATATAAATGTGTGTGTATATGTGTGTATGTATATATGGCTTATTGTAAAGGATATTATATGTGTTACATATGCATACACATTATACATGAGACACATATAAGCACATATGTAAATATGCATATGTATTAACTTGCATAGGGTGTATGCATTTTTTGTTTGTATGCATTTTGAAAGCTGACCCACCCTTAAGGCACCTGTATCAATTGCCTAAGTCCTTGGCCAATATAACCAGAGGAGATAAGCAGTAAAAAAATTATCTTGCTGAGCCAGGCTGGCAGGTGCAGGAACCCGATGGAACCCTGGGACTTTACGGTGTCTTCTTCACTTGGTGGTGGCAGCTGTGCTAACATCAGCAGGATGACGTATTTTAGCAGGGCAGAGGACATCTAGAGAAGGTTAATGAGCTACCTTCATGAATAGTCTCCTCAGGAATACTGCCTCCACATTCCATTTAAAACCTATTTCTCACTCTAATTCTTCCGCAGTCAGTATTTGGGTCCAACCTGGGCCTTTGGGGGGGCTATCGGCTGGCACTAGTCACCTTACAAATCAGCTCTATCCCTCTGTGTTCTCTCCCTGGGAACAGTCAGGAGAGAACGGCTCACACAGCTCTCCACAACCCACCCCCATTTCACTTTCCCATAGCCATGAAGCCGTCAGCTTGCCTTTTGCTCCAGAAGTAGCCTGTGGGCTGCTTCGATGTCCGGGGCCATGAAGCGATCCTTTATCCAGGGCCTTCAGAGAAAGCAGAGCAAGCCATCAGCCACACGCCTGCCTCTGTAGAGATCCACCGTTCTGAAATGGAGTGGGTCCCGGAGACCCCTTGACTTTACCTGACTACAGAGCGCACCAGGTCATAAACCTTCTCCAGCGGAGTGGTTGTTTTCAGGGGGCGGAGAAACTCTATGCCCTGGCAGGCAGCTAGGAGCTCGATGGCCAGCACTAAAACAGAAACAGGGAAGCAGCGGTTGGTTCACGTCTGGCTTCATCCTATGGGGCTGGAATCACCCAGAGTTGCAACTACCAGGAGTCAGCTATACGGACATGGATTTCTGTGTATCGAGAGAAGGAAATTGCCTGCCAGTGCAACCCAAAACAACTTGGGCTATTTCCAAGTCTGCTGGCAGCTTTCCAGAAACTGACAATAAGGCCCTATTGCGGAAGACAACACCTGCCCTGCGTATCTCATTGAACATGGAGGAGTGGAGCTGGGGGCCTCAATGGAGCCTTCACCTTGCTGGCTAGTGTTCATTGTACCAGAAGGTACTCTGCATGCTACCAGAAGAGGAAGCTAAGCATCAACCTAGATACAAACCCCTCGGTCTGCAGTGGTGACCGATCTGCATGATACGTCGGCACAATACCGTACAGAAGCTGTGGGGGTCACTAACCACTCTCTGATTGGATTGAAGACTTACTCCACGAGACCCACGCCTGACACTGCTCAGGTGGCCAGGAACCCGAGACTAGACAGGCCGTGGCCCTAGAGGGAAAAAAAACCAAAGTACTATTGTTCTAATAAAAGGACAGAGCAATAACGATATTTTGCTATACCTACAGACCAGTGTCTCACTTAGCCGTCATCAGAGAAGCTTCCTCCTGGAGCAGATGAAAGCTAAGGCAGAGACCTGCAGATGGACAACATGCATGGAGAGAAAGCCTTTGGAACGCTCTGTTCTAAACGGGAGGTCTTCGCGGAACCTCTTCAGGCCCCAGGGAACTTTCCGGAAGAGGAGGCAGAAAGATCGTAAGAGCCAGAGGAGATGGAAGACACCAAGGAAACAGTGCCTTCCAGACACAACAGGACTGGCAGGCCTATGAACTCCCACAGACTGTGGCAGTATGCACGGGGCCTGCCCAGCTTCAAGCCAGAGGGTGTCCCAGAACTGAGAGAGGAGCTATAGGTACAAGTCCCACATCCCTAACCCAGAAGCTATTCCCAACTGACAACCGCTTGCCAAGGGGAAGCTTAGCTTTCTTCAAGTCACCATCACTGGGTATACAAACCACACTTAAGGGAGACCCCATGCCCAGCACGAGACAGGCAAACACAAAATGAACTCAGTGTTGTTGTTGGAGCCAATTTTGTATTTCCATGGGTTTTGCGTACGTGTGTGTGTGTGTGTGTGTGTGTGTGTGTATGAGTATCTCTGCGTGTCTATGTGTTTATGTGCTTTCCCCTTTTCCTTCTGTCTGTTTGCTTGACTTTATTTTAGTCCGGTCGGTTATTTGTTTTATTGGTCTCTCTGTTTCCTAAGGGGAGAGAAAAAAAGGTGTTTTGTTGGATGGGTAGAGAGGACCTGGGAGGAGATGAGGGGAGGGGAAACTCCCCTCATATATATAGAACTCCCCATATTTAGCTTTGGAGCCTGTCCTGGAACTAGCTCTTGTAGACCAGGCTGGCCTCGAACTCACAGAGATCCTCTTGCCTCTGCCTTCCTAGTGCTGGGATTAAAGGCGTGCGCCACCACTGCCAGCGTTGATCAGATTCTTGTATTCTCCTCCTGTAACTCTGCCCTTCAGTGTCTTGTTCATTACCACAAAGAGTTGTCAGGTTGGCCAGTGTTTGCTTCTCTGAACCGACGTTCGTTTCTGTACGGGCAGGAGATAGGCACATCTCGCCCTCTCTGTTGCATTGCTCTGCTCAATGTCAGGTGCCTTTCTACACTTTCCATACTCCCATGCTAGTTACTTAAGCAAGGACAGGGAGTGGGCGCTGTGATAACTGGGAGAATCTACATCTCATTAAATCTTTGGAATCCATGTCACGACATCAGAAATGCCCGAGGGACCGAAAACATGAAAGCGAGATCACAAAGAAGCTACCAGAAAAATCCAGAACATCCATCTTCCTGCCAGAAAACTAGCCTGGCGTCTCGCTGAGTCAAAAGCCAGAAGGAAAACAAGGGGTAGAAGCCTGGAGCCAGGACGACAGGATTTAAAACAGGGCCTGGAATCCCCATTCCAACAAGCCCAAAGGAAAGGCTGAGGCGCTGCAGCTGGGAGGCTTTGAGTTTGTATTTGAGGCTGATACCAGGGCTCGGCTGTTTAATTCTGCGGGGTGTGGTGTGGCGTCCTGGCTGAGAGGAAAGCCCTGATAGCAGGAGCTGAATGAGGACGCCACAAATTGACATGTTAATGGGATGTTAAAGCCCACACAAAGAGCTACAGGCAATTGTGGCGCGCTGAGAAGATATGAGTCTTCCCTACGGAGGAACGCACCAACTGGTTGTCCAACACCAAACAGAGTCTTCCCTACGGAGGAACGCACCAACTGGTTGTCCAACACCAAACAGCCCCGAAAGCATACATGCAATTAACACTATACAGACCTGGAGGGTTAAACTGAAGCTGAGACCATGGAGGAGTGCTGCTAACTGGCTTGCACAGTCTCCGTGTGATTTGCTCAGCCTGCTTTCCTATACCACCAGGACCACCTGCCCAGGGGTGTCATTGTCCCCAGAGTGTGGGATCCCCCCTCAGCAATCAACAATCAAGAAAATGCCCTCCACAGACTTGCCCACATGGCATTGTCATGGAGGCCTTTCCTCAGTTGAGGCTGCTTCCTCCAAGAGGACTCTAGCTTGTATCAGGTTGACAAAGCAAAACAAAACTAAACTAACCAGCACAGTTATCTTGACCAGACTTAAAATCATGTTGGAGACAAAACTCTACACACGTTCGTGACGGCGTTTCCAGTGAGGTTCACCTGAGGGGTAAAGCCTCTCCCTGAATGTGGGTGACACGACCCCACAGAATGGGGTCTCAGACTGAATAGAAGGAAAAAGCAAGGGTGTGTGCACGCGCATGCTCACACGTTCTTATGTGTGCATAAATGTGGGGACTCACAGAGGCCAGAGGTGGTAGATACCTCCAGGGCTGGAGTTCCAGGCAGTCACCTGGTCTGGATTCTGGTAACTGAACTTTGTTCTCTACCAGAGTATTCTATGCTCTTAATCCCTGAGCCATCTCTCCAGTCTGGAGTCATCCATATTGAAGAGAGGAAGTATATATGGACAACATGGAGATATGATTAAAAATAATCTGGGAAAATAAAAAAATGGGGAGCAAACGTTTGGGCTTTTGAGTCGGTTGAGGCTTGCTAGGGTTCATGGTCCTCTCCACTTCCAGATATTAAAACAAGTGAAGAAAACCCCGGCGTCATTAAAATAAAGTTACACAAGGAGTCAGATTATCTCTGTGTATCCCTAGTTCTTCATCTTCAGTGAGAGACCGAATCACCTAGAAAGCCTTTAGCCACACTCCTCCGCTTCTCCCTAGTGTTTCTGGGAGTGACCAGAGGACCTGCACCCTGTACTTTAAGGGAGTTTCAAAACAACACTGACTCAGTGGGCAGTGATTATTCCATTCCGAGGAAGACCTGGAAAGCCAGTTTCCCAGTGAGGTCCACCTCCCAGGGTCGGCTTTACCTTGTTCTACATGCTCGATGACTCTGAGGGCCTTCCTGGCTGCCCATCCTCCCATGGAGACGTGGTCCTCCGTGGCAGCGCTGGTAGAGAGGGAATCCACAGACGAAGGGTGACACAAAGCCTTGTTCTCGGAAACTGAAAGAGACCAGAGCAAGTGAGGCAGCAGCCCTAAAACGGAATGCCGCCAAAATATTGCACAGCTCCCCCAGAGTCTCCACGGCATGACAGGACCTCTCCAGGGATTCTTGATCATGACCCAGGCACCATGGTGCCGAGCCACAGTCAAAAAAAACCATACAGGTCAATGCTTTTTTAAAAAAATTTATTTATGTATGTATTTTTAAAACATGCATTGGTGTTTTGCCTGCATGTATGTATGTCTGTGTGAGGGTGTGGGATTCCTCTGGAACTGGAGTGACAGACAGTCTCCAGTTGCCATGTGGTTGCTGGGAATTGAACCCAGGTCTTCTGGAAGAGCAGTCAGTGCTCTTAACTGCTGAGCCATCTCTCCGGCCTCGACCCATGAAGCCAAGCAGAACTCCAAGACTTTATATGGATAAGTAATCTGTCTAATACTCAAGACAGCATGATGTAAGGTACAGCCACCGTCGTGTGGTCTACGCATCCGAGGCAGTATCAAGAGGATAGAGAGGCCTGACGCCACACTGGTTATACATGGGTTTAGGTTTCACCAGACGTGTTTAATTAACCATCACATTACCTAGTCCTTTGAGGTAGTATTGTTAAAGAAAATACAGGATGCTCAGCTGAATTGAGAATTTTTTTTTTTTGGATAAAAAAAAGTGTTTGGTTGGTTTTGTTGTTGTTATTTTGGTTTTGGTTTAGCATAAGTCGATCCCAAGTAATTCAAATAGAACTGGGCATCCTACATTTTTGGGGGTTGTTGAATCTGACTACTCTATTTTAAGATTGTGTGCTGATGAACACAGGTTCTTGATATCGACCAGCCGCAGGAACAGAGAGAGTGGGCTGCTGCGAACCCTGAGCCACCCCACTGCCCCAGCAGCCTAGGGACCCTCACACCCTGTGAGGAGCCACATTTGCTATAGTGCATCCCAGCCACTACCACGGCAACCAACAGCATCAAGGCCAGGACCCCAGGCAGCCTCATACCCACAGCTTCTGCCTGGGAAGGAGGGTTTTCCGAACAATAAAGTGGTTCATCGTAAGAAATGGGTATGGTTTCACTGAGATGAATGACACCAAGAAAGATGTGCTGAGGCAGGAAAGGTTAGAGGCCCTGGTGGAATTCAAGCCCAAGGCAGTAAAGACGTAGCCTGTACTCTCTTTATGTGGTAGAGATTCTCCATGCAGTTATCATCAGGGTTACCAGAATAATGAGAGTTGGGGAAAGGCTGAGGTTCTCCTCTTTGGACATGCAGGGGCCACCCTGGCCTAAGCCTCCTGTGTAGGAGGACTAGAAAGAGGGTGCTGACACCCGGAGAGCAAGACAGCAAGGTAGATCAGTGAGACAGGCTGTGTTTGGGGCCACAGGCTGTGATTCCACAGGGGCCCTCATCCCAGAAGACACCCTAGAGAGGACAGCAAGGGTGGGGGGGAGAACCAAGGAGACGAGACCCAAGGTCAGCAGCCACCTCAGAGCTGCGGCTTCAGTGACATCCCAGATACCCAGAGACTCTTACGCTGGTGCGGGAGAATTGTCTGTATTCTGTCAACCATGTTTTAAATAAACGCTGATTGGCCAGGCAGGAAGTATAGGCGGGAAAACCAGACAGGAAGTGGAAATGATGCAAAGAGAGCAGGAGAATTCTGGGGAGGAGGAAGTTGATTCCTCCCACTCCTACCCAGATCACTGAAGCAGCAGGATGTGAGCTGCCCCACTGAAAAAGGTACTGAGCCACATGGCTAACATAGATAAGAAAAATGGGTTAATCAAGATATGAGAGTTAGCCAGTAAGAAGCCTGACCTAACAGGCCAACAGCTTTATAACTTATAGAGATCTCAGTGTGATTTTTCTCTGGGACTAAACAGCTGGGGGTACCTGGAAGGACAGAAAAACACAAACAAACGGGCCCCACTTGTGTTACATTACGCCACAAGACAGCAAAGAGAAGCAAGCAGGCGACCCACCCACGGAGGACTCAGCTGCTTATGCAGAGCAGGGCGGGCCTGAATAAATGACAGCCTATCAGCCAAATCATCAAGCAGTTTAGCTCTCCAACGAGGAAAACATGGCACAGCATTCTGGCAACAGGAAATACAAAGATGGGCGCTGACGACCTGAAGGACTTGGTTTTCTGCCACTTTTAACCCAATAAGAAAGAACAATCCGCACCGTCTACGAAGCACGTAGTTAGAATAAACACTTTTCACCTAAAGATTTCCCTTTTGGATCATGACAAATCTAGGTTCTGTTGCTATTGCTGCTTATTTATTTATTATTATTAGTGTCTGTTTTTTCTCAATATGTCATTAAAGATTTTTAAGTTGTTTCAAATCCGGTTGAGATGTTTAAAAATTTCATTTTTAATTTGTAAGAAGCTTAAGTCAGCAAACCGAAAGTACCTGCTACTCAAGCTCTTAAGTGATGATGATGATGGTGGTGGTGGTGGTGGTGGTGATGGTGGTGGTGGTGGTGGTG